GGCAGGAATACACAGAGGAATTATACCAGAAAGATTTGGATGTCCCGGACAACCCAGATAGTGTGGTTGCTGACACTGAGCCAAACATCCTGGAGAGGGAAGTCAAGTGGGCTTTAGAAAGCATGGCTAACAGCAAGGCCAGTTGGAGGTGATGGTATTCCAGTTGAACAGTGGTGCCTCGCATAATGAGTGCACCGTTTAACGACAATCCGCACAGCGATGCAGATTTTGCGATCGCTTACCGATCTTCGCATTGCGATGTTTTAGAAACAGCTGATCGGCTGTTCCAAAATGGCCACCGGGTCAACAAAATGGCCGCACGCAGCGTTTTCGCGCCGATTCTTTGCTTGCCGAGGTGGCGAAAATGGCGGCCCTATGGAGGATTCCCGCTTAGCAGTGAGTTTATCCCCGTAGGAACGCATTAAACTGAGTTTAATGTGTTCCTATGGGGTTTTTATTTCCGTATAGCAATGTTTCCGGATAGCGACGATTTATCCGGAATGGATTATCGTTGCTATGCGGGGCACCATTGTAATTTTGAAATAAAATTTGTATCAAAAATCCAAAACGACCTCAGTTGGAAAGCTGAAAAAAACATGTTTACCAGAGCATTACCCACGGCATTGGCTTCTATATTGCTCAAGGGAACAGCTTTTTCGATATCTTCACATGTCTAACCAAATCATTTCTAATTAGGCATGAATATCATCATACACAGCTACCATCTTTTCCCCTTTACAGTTCTTATAAAGGTTATTTACACTCGCCACAGGTACAGGAAATGATGGCACTCTGAATCCTTTTACCAAAACACTTTTGTGAGGTAAAATATTTTCCTTAGGAATTATGTCAAGCTAACAAATGTACAATTGCAAATATATATCCATTACACCTCACACAACTTTGTCTTGAATTAGAGTTCTCTCTCTATATTCTTCAACCAACTCTGTACAGTATTTATCATAGTAAATAGACAATGTTTTATTTCATGACTTGGCTCAGCCTCATTTAATTCTGACATTCCACCCTCCTAGTTTCTTCATTAAGTGAGCAGTTTAACTGTTGATTCGGGTTCTTGAGAAACAGTAAACTAGCTTCCCTCTATACACTTTCTGTTGAATTACCTTTTCTGGGCAGGTATCCCAAAAAGATACCCCAAGAGAACCCAAAATGGAACAAATATGAAAATTGTTACCATGCACATTCTGTGTGTATGCATCTGCGTATTTGTGTATGTATGTATGTTCCACTTTACCTGGTACTGTACTACAAACCATGCTATTAAACCATGAGAAAAAAGTTTTGTTATTTAGCTCAAATGGACAAATCCTGAGGAGTTACTGATATAGTATTGACTTGCACCAGATGAGTTTCTCATGCTCAGTGTCTAAGTTCTTAAAATGTCAAGCATGTTTGCATGATAGGTTTGTGCCAAGCATGAAATACGACCTCCCAACATTTCCTACTGCGCTGGAAGGCCATTAGAATGACAGTCCTCTCTTTGATGGCATTCTTTATTTGAAAAGTTGTTTCGTGTCATAAGTCACAAGCAGAGGGCCCTGAAGTAGTTCATCAAGAGGTAACACCAGGATAGTTGACTAAGGAGGCATACAGGTCATCAGGTCAGAATTCCCCATTATAGCTAGAGGTGGAAGAGAAATACAGGGAAGCTTTTTTATAATAGATCAGACTAGGCCATCTGGTTCAGTGCTGTTGACTTTCAATAGCAGCTGTTCTCCAAGACTTCATGTAGGATTCTGTCCCTACTGAAGATTTCCAGTTTTTCTAGGTATTTACTGCATCCAAGTACTAACTGGACCCAATCCTGCTTAGCAGCTGAAATCAGATGTATTCAGGGTATTATGAGGATGTTGAAAGTGGTGTGGTCGTATGATAATAAAATTAGATTTAACTAATCATGTCTAAACATACATCTACACATGTAAATTTGTATGCTCACATTTTATGCAAATACGTTGACACAGTTATTGGCAATCCATACTTGGCAATACTACAAAAGAGGCAGCAACTTCAGAAAACAAAGCCAAGGAGAATCCTCAGATTTCATCTATGCCTTTGGCATGATGTTCTATGGTTGATAATGTGTTGCAAAGTCAATGTGTCACTTGCAGTACAGCAGTTTAACCACTGCGCCACGAGGCTCTTTTTATTAGCATCAAAAGTCATTTTATGAATGAGATATATTTCCAGTTTGATCAATGAAATATAAAGGTATTTTCAGACCAGTCCAACTCATGTTAACTTAGAAGTTAAAATGGTTCAGTGGGACCAATGCCCACAAAATTGTGCAGAAAATTGCATCCAAATACAGTAGAATAATCCTATAGACAATAACAGGAGAAAATGTACAGTTTTCAATCTCCTGTTCCTTCATATTCATACAGCTGAACATGTAAAATGAATTGCACCCTCTGTATTTTATATCTGGACTGTTTCATTTCTTTCTTTCTCATAGCAGAGGATTCCTTAACTGCATCTTCCTCTTCGAGGCTCAACCTCTCTCCAAAAAATCCAATGTGGCCCTTGAGATACCGTCACAAAAACCATAGAGTTCCCAGCTTAGTGTATTTGACAGCATCTAGTACTTGGTAAGCAACATTATTGAATCTTAGACCCTTGTTGCATGGCTACCAGTCATGGATAATTAACATTTGCATGTTCTACAACAGTGTTTAGTATTTGGCATGCAACAGTTTTTAGTTTCTGGCAGCACATAACAGGTGGTTGATGGTTTTCTTTATGAAGGTTTTCTTTCATAATATTAGGTGTCAGCCAATGTTCCCTCCAATTTTCCATAAGCGTGTGGCAGGGCCCCACCCCATGTGCACGAGATTCCAGCTGTGATCAGAAGCAAATTGACGGCAACTCTGGCTTGTTGTGTGGCCCCGATCCAGCACTGGACAGGCACACAGCTCAGAGAGAACATCAGCTTATCAGTTTAAATAACCCTCAAATACCAGATGTTACTAAATCCAAAATATTCAAAGTTTTGATGTCAAATTTAATTTAAAAAGCAAAATTGAATTCTGAATGTGAAAATGGGTAATTCATTACAAACATCTGCTCTGCTGTGAATTCACCATCTTTCTCCTCTTCTTTCCCAGTAAGACCAATTGTCCTGGCATTCATTACATCATAATGAGCATATCAGTCTCCCTTGAATAAGGTAGATCAAGTTACATATATTACTTTTTTTCTTCTTTGCTTGACATCTAAACAAATGATGACCTTTGATGTCTTTTGGCACATTCTTCCACATCTTTTTCTTATATTCCTTTTACCTTTCCACATGTTTTTACAGGATGTTTACACCAAGTATCTTCACTTCAGAGTTACTCTATAATCTGTCACAAGGCATCTAGGCTAGACCTGTTAACATAGGATGTCTTTTCCAGATTTTTCAAAATCCTTTGTTTTCTCCCTATCAGACTTCAAAAGTTGTCGATTTTGAAGCATCCATGCTGTTCTGTTTACTAATAATCACATTCCCGCATTCCTAATTTCCTAAGGTCTTTAATCACCACTAGCCTTTTACTCCATTGCTGATATATTTCAATCCAGCTCTTAATTAATTCTTTTGCTTTTAAGCTTTGTCTTATGAAGAACAGTAATTCTTTTTATCTCTCTTCTTGAACTTGTTTCATTTACCCTCTTGTTCCTAATGTTTGCCTTATGAAAAATCAGCTTTCCTCCATCTCTCTTTTTCAACTTAATAAAATGAACAGGAAACAATATATAGCCTGCACACTCTTTTCTCTCCTCTTGTCAGACTATTTATAGACTGATTCATGATGCTGATATGTCTAATTATATCTATTCACGTCAAATATGAATAGGAATTCTGTTAGGAGTTAAGACTGCCAGAAGGATTTTGACCTAAGAAAGAAGGGGAGGGTGCTCAGTATGTAAATCACTCTCTATATAAGCAGCCCTGGACTCTGCCTCTTATGTTCTTGCACCAATAGCTTAAAGGTAAGAGTGTGGAGTGTGAATTTAAAAGGAATAAGATTTCACCCTGAATTCTTCACCTCCCAGTGCATTCCCTATGCCTTTAGCACTTATGAACAGAGAGTGTCTGTGTCAATAGGGATTTAAAATTTGCTTTCATCCATCTCTACTCTAGCATTTATTATTGGATATTGGGTAAAGGATCTGTGATTTTTATTTTGCAGTATTGGCCAGCTCAACCCTGCATTATTATCTACCACATAAGGTAAGACCTTGATTTACTAAATCCCTTGGGAGAGCAATATAGACAAATGGGAGGGATCTGCATGTTCTTTAGTGGACAAAATACTTCATTATAACCTTCATGGACTTTGTATGATTTGTGCTGAAGGTATATAATATTTTGTGCTGAAGCTGCAATCCTCAAGCATGAGGAAGTCAATGAAACCACTGGCCTTGAAGATTCTGATACACTTACCAGCCCTTCTTAATAGAATATTGACATTCCATTATGGGTCATTCAATCCAGGGGTCAAATCCACAAAGGATGCTCTGTGGTAGATCTCCATAGACTGCATCATACCATGCATTAACATTGCAGATGTGTGTACTAATGATGCCAATGTGAAGAGCATGGATATTTGATAATCTGCATAGTTTTTTCATGGCATTCTTGCACAAAGAATAATTCCTGTTCAAAGTTGCATGCCTTTCTGTACGTGGGACAATGGCTGTAAGAATTGTTCTGTTCAGCTTCTTACTCCCTGGCACAAGGGAGCTGATAATAAAATGCAGAACAGCCTCCAATTCCCGTACTGCCAACATACAATTTCCTAGGAGAACAAGTTAAAGAAACTAAATTTGAATGAGCCTTGAAAAGTATAATATAATTCTTGGTCTACAATCTCTATTTAGTCCCTTCATTATTATTATGCATGCAAGGAAGTATTTATGTGTAATTATGACATGCTTAAAACATATCTTCCCCTTCAGCTTTTTCTTTCCTCAACTGCGTGCTATACATCGCAATCATGTCTTCAGATGCTGAGATGGCTGCCTTTGGGGAAGCTGCCCCTTATCTCCGGAAGTCAGAAAAGGAAAGAATTGAGGCCCAAAATAAGCCCTTTGATGCCAAGAACTCTGTTTTTGTGGTGGATCCTAAGGAATCCTATGTCAAAGGCACTGTCCAGAGTAGGGAAGGAGGAAAGGTCACAGTCAAGACTGAAAAAGGAGAAGTAAGTAAAACACAAGAAATACACTGTTATAAGTCTCTCCTCTTTATTCTCTCATGATAAAAATGGCTCTGTTTTAACCTTTGTAGACTGTATCCGTTAAAGAAGACCAAGTATTTCCCATGAATCCTCCCAAATATGACAAAATTGAGGACATGGCCATGATGACCCATCTTCATGAACCTGCTGTCTTGTATAATCTCAAAGAGCGTTATGCAGCCTGGATGATCTACGTAAGCATATTCTGAAATAGTGTTTTTCTGTTGTTTTAGAGTGGAACTAGGTTTCAATGATTCTTACACCTGTTCCTCTCTTGCACAAGACACCCACTAGGATATGCTTCTAAGCTATAGCAATTAGTTAGCTATTTATGTGGTTTAAGTAACTACTAATTAATAAATCTGATACCACTTCGGTAGTCTCTTAGATCCAAGATAAGTCTGTGGCAAGTATTTCATTCATAGTCTAATGCCTCCCCCACCTTAAAAAAACCCTGTCTATTTCTTACATACAGTGTCAGACATATTCCTGTGGTAGTCTCTTAGATCCAAGATAAGTCTGTGGCAAGTATTTCATTCATAGTCTAATGCCTCCCCCACCTTAAAAAAACCCTGTCTATTTCTTACATACAGTGTCAGACATATTCCAGCCCGAAGTTCTTCAGTTTAAGGATTCACACATATATTGGGAAAGATAACAGAATAAACAGCAACAAACAATACTGATGTGCAAACCTTTATAGTGACAATCCCCACAGCCATAAACCCAAGGAAAATGCAGGCAGCTATACTGATCTGTATCAACAGATCAATTGTAGCAGTTCTCATCTATACCACGAGCTGGTCTATTATAAGTTAGTGAATCTTAGCTGCTTCCTAGAAACCAAGTCACCTAAAATTATTAGGACAACCCTCAAAATAGATTGTTGCTGGGAAAATCCATGCCACTCCCACCCACTTCTACTGTAAGGATTGCAGATAAACTCAGACTGAGCAGCTCTACTCTTTGAAGGGTAGTGCATGACGTAGTAATTTCTGTGTATCAAAACTTTTCCATGCTTTAACCCTATGACCTCTGGTTCTACTAGAATATTACAGATAGATAGACTAAGCTAACTCTGTCATTCCTTTTCTAGACCTACTCTGGTCTCTTCTGCGTCACTGTCAATCCCTACAAGTGGCTGCCAGTGTACAACCCGGAGGTGGTAAGTGCCTATAGAGGCAAGAAGCGCCAAGAGGCCCCTCCACATATCTTCTCCATCTCTGATAATGCATATCAGTTCATGTTAACTGGTGAGTTGAAGAACATCTTTGACAGAATAAACATATTTTCAGAAAAAGCCTCAGAATCTTTCCTAGGAAATGTGAAACTCAAACAAGACAGCAAACAGAAGACTGCAACCCACACACTACATGATTCTCATTGTTTTAAAAATACATACCAACACAACTATAAAAGCTCTACAACTAGATTAATTATTATTCATCAGCAAATTCTGTATTATTGCTTAGATGCCCCATGGCACCTGGTCAACACAAAGAATCCTGGCTATAAATATGTCTTGCTTATATGGAAACCACAGCAATATTTTTTAAATAATTCCACATAGTAACAGCTACAGCATATTTACCTGAAACTTAGTTCCAGTAATGTATTCATGGCCGGAATCTAATGGTTGTTGTGGGTTTTTCGGGCTCTTTGGCCATGTTCTGAAGGCTGTTCTTCCTAACATTTCGCCAGTCTTTGTGGCCGGCATATTCAGAGGACAGCTGAATATGCCGGCCACAAAGACTGGCGAAATGTTAGGAAGAACAACCTTCAGAACACGGACGTGGGGGCCCGAAAAACCCACAACAACCATAAGTTCCAGTAACTTCAACATAACTTTTTTTTAAGGATGTTCACACAGAACCATAGCCACATTATCTTAATGTCTCTTTGCTTATGTCTTTTTCCAGATCGTGAGAATCAGTCAATCCTGATCACGTAAGTTTGTTTCCATACTTGGGTCTGTGCTGGTTTTGTGGTGGAATATCATTGTTGTTATGTGCTCTCAAGTTCTTTCTTACTGTGACAACATGAATCAATCCAATCGGTTCTATCTATCGTTGCCTGCCAAGTTCATGTCTTGCAAACTAAAGGCCATGGCTTCCATTATGAGGTCAAGTCACCTCACATTAGCTCTTCTTTTTATATTGCCTTCCAGCTTCTCTACCATTATTGTTCCTAGCATTACTGTTTTTGAGGAAATCTTGTCTTTTCATTATATGTCCAAACTAGCCTCCACTTATTCATTTTAGCTCCTATTGAGAGCTCAGGCTTAGCTTGATCCAGAATAGCTTTTTTTTCCCCCACAATCTTAGGTATCCACAAAACTTGAGGATCACTTTGCTTGTTTGGGAAATGAATATAATAGTCCTATAAATACTGCAAGCTTTGGGATCACATTTCTTTGTGATTGAAAAGTATATTGTATGCATCTAGTTTGTGGAGTAGTTATTTGTTTTCTATATTTGTTGACATATTTATTTATTTTTATAAATTAAGGTTTAACTAGTTGGAGTGATCTGGGTCATGTTTAAAAGGCTCTTATCTTCTATGTGATCTATTTTATCTTGCACTTGAGTGATCCTTCCATTCACACAGGAGATGTTTCTTCTCCCATGAGAAGTATTCAGGCAGCACTTCTGATCATCCCCTTTTTGCTTATCGACACCTCCAGCCCCAATTCTTTCAACATCTTTTGTCACAGCTGTCATTCCACGGGCTGTGGTGACTTACTTTTCTTTTTCAAGTAAGTTGCATAGCACTACGGCATTAAAACAACCTGGCATGGATACTTCATTATATCTGAAACTTAGGAGAATATTTTTTTTAAAACACTTGTGACAAGAAAAAAAATTAAGAGGGTTTGCTCCATCTTCCTTTCTACCGTAACAACCCACTGCACATATCACAGGGTTGTCACCGAGAAGAATGCTACCCACAACTCTATTTGGGAGTGAAGTAAGCAACCACACAGACTACAGAACAGGATAATCAAGAGCATTCCCTATCACATCAAACAAACTGTAGCCCTAGCACTGTACTAGAAAAGAGCAGAACAGCTCGCAAAAGGGGGAAAATGGATCACTCTTACTTAAATCACATGTAGTTGCTGGAAAATAGGGCAAACCAAACAGTGAGCTCTATGCTCATCTGATCATCCCCCTCAGTCTCAGTAGCCTGAAATGGCTTGACTGATACCCTATCCATTCCTGTAATGTATTTCTTCCCCCACTGCTTTGGAGCACTTTTAGTACATTTTCTAAAATTACAGATTTTTAAAACTGATAGATTCTAGCATGGAGTAGGTTAACTTTGTGAACAGGACCTCACTTTTCCCTTTGGTGAAGAAGGAAACACTTTTCTCTCTGTTTATGTGGATATGAGACTATTCTAATCCCTGGTCACTATTTTTTGTCCTGCACAATGGGTCGCTACTGGCTATTTGCCCTTAATTTTGTACAGGCTACATATAACATACTGTGTCTTTGATCAACAGTGGAGAATCTGGTGCTGGAAAGACTGTGAACACAAAACGTGTAATTCAGTACTTTGCAACCATCGCTGCCACTGCTGACAAGAAAAAGGAAGAGCCAGTGGCACAAGGCAAAATGCAGGCAAGCTGTTTGATGAAAAAGGGGGTAATATGATATCGCGTTAATTCTATATGACTGAAGAGACATACCGGTAATCTGACAATAATATTTACATTACAGGGCACCCTTGAAGATCAAATCATCAGTGCCAACCCCTTGCTGGAGGCCTTTGGAAATGCCAAGACTGTGAGGAATGACAATTCTTCACGTTTTGTAAGTTTTGTATAGAGTTTGAATATAGTAATTATTATGTACTTCTGTTAAATGTAATGCTTTCTTTTATAAAATCTCTAGAGAAGCATTATATAGAATCTGCTTCCTAGGATGTGTAATAGTATGTCTTTTCCTCTCTGAAGGGTAAATTCATTAGAATCCATTTTGGTCCCACTGGCAAATTGGCTTCTGCAGACATAGAGACATGTAAGGGATTTTTCTTTAAATTCTTGAGAATCTTTCCTCTCTCTCTCTCTCTCTCTCTCTCTCTCTCTCTGCTTTAGATTATATTTTCTTCCTATATCTTTGGCTAATTATACTGAAATTCTTTGTCAGATCTGCTGGAGAAGTCCAGAGTCACTTTCCAGCTAAAAGCTGAAAGAAGCTACCACATCTTTTATCAGATTATGTCCAACAAAAAGCCAGAATTGATAGGTGAGAAAAAACATTTGTTTTGGTGGCTGCAGCAAAGTAATTTATTTATCTTTTGTTTAAAATGTTGTTATATATCATTTACATATTTAATGAGACGAGATCTATAACTTTCAGGTTTTTTCTCTTTCCATTTGCTTTCAGAGATGCTCCTCATTACCACCAACCCTTATGACTTTCACTATATAAGTCAAGGGGAAATCACTGTTCCCAGCATAGATGATAAGGAAGAGCTCATAGCTACAGATGTAAGTAATATGAAAGGGAGTGTTTCTGGTATATCATCTTGACGTAATATAATGTTCACTCACAGATCTCAATTCAATTACCAGAGTGCAATTGACATCCTGGGTTTCAGTGTGGATGAAAAGACAGCCATTTACAAGTTGACTGGGGCTGTGATGCACTATGGAAACATGAAGTTCAAGCAAAAGCAGCGTGAGGAGCAGGCTGAGCCAGATGGCACTGAAGGTATTTGCAGAATTTGCAAGGGAAATTATCTGCACTCCTCCATGACCAAAAAAGCCTTAATCCTTTCTGGTCTTAACTTTCAGTCAAACAGCTGATGATGATAAATGAGTAAGAACAAATTCTGAAGGCTGCATTTATATTACATACTAATATGGCAGTAATTCTCATTGCACTCAACAGGTCTTCTATCTCAGTAGCTAGGTCACACAAATATAAAGAGAAGGAGAGATTAAGAGAAATGGGGGAAAGAAGGGGGGAGAGAAAAAAACTTACACACAGAAAGACGTACACAGATTTGAATTTTTATTTCAGTCTGGGATAAGGCAAGATTATTTCAAAGCAGAAATATTGAACTCTAAATAATGAACATCATCCAGAATTCATAGATGTGCCAAAGACAACTAATATCTTTCCTCACTTTCCTATATTGATGATATTAGCTGATTTATAATGATCTATAAAGCTGATCCTTAACCTTCAGTAAAGAACTGAAAGTAATTAATTAACTGCTATTTTGTGGAATTTTTGCTATACGAGATGCCTAGTTATCTCTAAGAAAAGTATGAATTCTGGGCTCTTCATAAGGGTGGGGTTTGGGACTTAGAAATTGTTACAAGGATGTGTGTATGTTTTGGTTTGGTCTCTGAGTGTTCTATGTGAATTTTGTTGTATATCTATATACGTTAAATGACAATAAATTTATCTTATCTTATAAGTAATTCCTGCAAGTGAAGCATCTGGATAGACATTTAATTTTTATTTTTAGGTCACTTGAGAAAATTGATTTGTGTTCAAGAATAAGAATAACTATTATTTTTTGCATAACTAGAAAAGTCAATCAAGTCCAGAAAAAAACAAGGCAAAGTGTTCTACAACAGTTAATTCTGACAATTCCAGTTTTTTTCCAAAAGCTATCCTGTTTGGCTATTACTTGACTCAGCATAAATTCTTCTTGTGTAAACTGTATTAAAATATTATACATATGTCTCATAAACCTTTCCTCTTACCATTGTGCACAGTTGCTGACAAAGCTGCTTACCTCATGAACCTCAACTCAGCAGATCTGCTGAAAGCTCTGTGCTACCCTCGAGTCAAGGTTGGCAATGAGTATGTCACCAAAGGCCAAACTGTCCAACAGGTAATGATCTGCAATACAAAGTTAGTGTTAGTCTGAATAGTTGCATTACTTATATGCTAACTTCAGTCTGTCTCATTCCATTTTTGTAGGTGTATAATAATGTTGGTGCTTTGGCTAAAGCTGTCTTTGAAAAGATGTTCTTGTGGATGGTCATTCGGATCAACCAGCAGCTGGATACCAAGCAGTCTAGACAGCATTTCATAGGCGTACTGGATATTGCTGGCTTTGAAATCTTTGATGTAAGAAAATAGGGAATTCAAGAAAATATATGTAGGGAGATGCACAGCGCCTAAAAATTCCCATCAGAAACAGTGTTAAGTTCATCAGTGTCCTGAATGCCAAGTCACTGAAGGAGCGAAATTGCTTCCATGGTGTTGACAAGGGAAATGACTGACACTGAAATATTTGGCACCGTTAAGAAATTGTAGAAATGATCTGGCATAGAGTAAGGCTCGTGTATCCTAGACATCTCTTGGCCCAGGGCAGAGTGTAAACAATATATTCAAAAGAACATTTTAAAAACAGAGCGTTCAGAGAACATAAATAAAGTGCAGCACAGTATGAAGAAAAGCACAAGTAGCTCCTATAGGACTATAGCTATATGAAAATTTGCAAATTTTACAAAAAAAACCCTGTAAGATATAGAGAAAAATGAATTGGATTAAAGTATTTTAACACCAAGCATTAGGAAACTATGGTTAAGAATATTGCCAACCTTTGGCCTGAGAGCTCAGTGAGTTGGTCCACTGGCTATGGAGCCAGAGGTTGGATTTTGATTCCCCAAGAGCCAGTCTCTGTAACCTTGAGCAAACAGTACTTTCCAAGAAAAAAGGAGAAGAGTAAACCAATTCTGAGTATACCTAAAAAGACCTGATGAGAGTTTATTTGTTTGGCAGCCAAGACCACTCTGAGCGATTTACAACAAAGTAAACAGTAACAATAACATAGTGACAAGAGTATACAACAGCAACCAAATAAAATATTAAAGATACAAAACAAATAACAATAGAAATACTCAGTAAAAACATAATAAATAAAATAAAATGGAAACATCAGAATAAACTTGACAGCACATGATAATTATCATAATTGTTAAAATATCTTTGCATTACATAGTTCAATAGCTTGGAGCAGCTCTGCATCAACTTCACCAATGAGAAACTGCAACAGTTCTTCAATCACCACATGTTTGTGCTGGAACAAGAGGAGTACAAGAAAGAAGGAATTGAATGGGAGTTCATTGACTTTGGAATGGACTTGGCTGCCTGCATTGAACTCATTGAGAAGGTATTTTTATATAATTTGTTAACCTACATGTTTGTGCCAGGAAACCTGGATTTAAGAATGAACTTGAGATAATTGTTTATTTATTTATTTATGTTCAAAATAAATAGTCTAATAACAATACAAAAATATTTATAATATGCTTTTGCTTAAGCTCTAAGTAGGGTTATGGCACATCATCATCATCATCAGTAGTAGCAGCAGTAAAATAAAATGTATAGAATGCTCACTATGAAATGTTCAGTTTAGTAATTGTGATGTGTAATATCTTTCTTATTGATTTAATCACTTTGGTCATTCAATTAAATATCTATATAGAAATAAATATATGCATTCCTGTGGGATGTTAGGTTAAAAACATAGCGCTAAGAAGTTAAGAATATAAATATAACAGAATACTGAATTAAAAATGAAGTGCAAACTAATTAAAATACAGCAGTTCCCCCGTATCTGGGGATGATACGTTCCAAGACCTGCCGTGAATACTTAAAACCCTGGACAGTAGCAAATACTATATATATTGCAGTCGTGGCTGTAGTGTTGTTACCGTAGAGAAAGGCAGCAGCAGCGGTGGGTGCAAAGTGACATACATCGTCATGTTTTTTACTGCAGTCTTACTGGCAAATAAATAAATAAATAAATAAATAAATAAATAAATAAATGCATACCAATTTGGATTGAAGGGCCGCTCACCCCTTCCTGCTGCCTTTGCCACTTTGTACTTGGAATAAAGCAGGTTGATTAACTAGGACCTCACTAGAGGGCTGGAGCTCAGTAGCAAGAGGAGGAGGCAAGTCCCTGAATTGTGGCATTATAATGACCAGAATGAATAATTTAGGTAAACCACAGATAACTGAAATTCTGAAATTGAATCCATGGATACAGGGGTTCTACTCTACACACAACTTCAAAGAAAATTAAGTCCCAGTGCTTAACCATTTAACAAAATTAAAAGACACCTGCTTCTTGGAAGGAAAGTGATGACAAACCCAGACAGCATCTTAAAAAGCAGAGACATTGCCTTGCTGACAAAGGTCCGCATAGTCAAAGCTATGGTTTTTCCAATAGCGATGTATGATAGTGAGAGCTGGACCATAAAGAAGGCTGACAGCCGAAGGATTGATGCTTTTGAATTGTGGTGCTGGAGGTGGCTCTTGGGAGTCCCCTGGACTGCAAGGAGAACAAACCTATCCATTCTAAAGGAAATCAAACCTGAGTGCTTACTGAAAGGACAGATCCTGAAGCTGAGGCTCCAATACTTTGACCACCTCATGAGAAGAGAAGACTCCCTAGAAAAGACCCTGATGTTGGGAAAATGTGAAGGCAGGAGGAGAAGGGGACGACAGAGGACAAGATGGCTGGACAGTGTCATCGAAGCTACCAGCATGAATTTGACCCAACTCCAGGGGGCAGTGGAAGACAGGAGGGCCTGGTATGCTCTGGTCCATGGGGTCATGAAGAGTCAGACACGGCTTAATGACTAAACAACAACAATAATTTGTAGGCTAAAACTAAAACTGGAAAACATTCTAAGCTGTGAAGCTGCAATACCACATCACTTACATAAAGATTAAAAAGAACAGCAGCTAATAAAACAGTTCTGCTTTAATATATTTGTGAAGGCTTTCACGGCCGGGATCTAATGGTTGTTCTGGGTTTTTTGGGCTCTTTGGCCGTGTTCTGAAGGTTGTTCTTCCTGACGTTTCGCCAGTCTCTGTGGCCGGCATTTTCAGAGGACAGCAACCTGTGCTCTGGTGTAGTTGGCTTGGGAGTGCAGTATTTATGGCTGTGAGATAGGCTTTTGTCTTTTTCCTGTAGATGGGTGATTAGTGTGTATTGTTTTGGGTGTATTGTGTGCTAAGGGGAAGAGATTATCTGTTCCTGTGGTTGATGGGTGTCATTAGCTGGTCTTTTGTGTGTAGTGATCCCCTGACCTTGTGGGTGGGTAGAGTTCGTTGACCTTTTGCACATAGTATGTTTGATAGCTGGGAGCCAAGTTTTGTTGAGCTTCATACTTTCCTCTTCTTTGTTGAAACTGTGCTTGTGCTTGTGGATTCCAATGACTTCCCTGTGCAGTCTGACGTAATGATTGCTGGTGTTGTCCAGTATTTCAGTATTTTGTATACTGTATTCAGTTTATTCAGTAATTCAGTTCTGCTTTACTTTCTTAGAAGCTGGAATTAAATGTGTCAGCTGGCCACTGAGGTCTACTCTCATTCTCATGTATATTTCAGCATGCAGCATACACAATTATAAGAGCAAATAATTTTCTAACAACAATGGAGTTTCAAAGCTTTAGCCACAATCTTTGCAGTTTATTCTATCAAATGCTGCTGTAAGGTCCACACAGTCCCCAGATTTGTACTCAGTTGTGTGGTATGGCCTATCCAGACCTGGCAAAGTGCGGCCCTCCAGATGTTGCTGAACTGCAAATGCCAACATTCCTCACTGTGTGGGCTAGGCCCAACTCTCCTCACTATTGGCTGTGTGGGCTAGGCCCAGCTCTCCTCACTATTGGCTGTGTGGGCTAGGAATTATGGGAGTTGCAGTCCAACAACATCTGGAGGGCCACATTTTGTCCACCCCTGGTATGCCAAACTTCCAGCAGCTGCTTGGTTTCTCAAAGTACAGGTACATGCAATGCCTTGTTGAGGTTTGGTTCCTTTTCAGCAGAGGTGGGGGAGAAAATTGTGGAGGAATTAACTGCAAACCAAGGCTGTCCAGCTCCCCATTGCAAAGTCCTCCCCTCTTTTTGTAATAAAAGAGACTAGCAATAGGGCCTAGGTTAAAAGTTAACTTGTAAAATCCTAAAAAGAAATAAATAAGATAAAACCAGAGCTGCTCATGAGTGTGTATACAGCCGCACTCTACCAGAACTGGAAATGTTAGTAATTTTTTAAAAAATAGTAATTAAAAAATAACTAGATTAATCTATTTTAATAATTTTCTATCTGCCTGTTCTTGTTGCTCTCTTCAGCCAATGGGCATTTTCTCCATCCTAGAAGAAGAATGCATGTTTCCAAAGGCAACAGACACATCCTTTAAGAACAAGCTGTATGACCAGCATCTTGGCAAGTGCAAGAACTTTGAAAAGCCCAAGCCTGCCAAAGGCAAGGCAGAAGCCCACTTCTCTCTGGTGCACTATGCAGGCACCGTGGATTACAACATCAGTGGCTGGCTTGAAAAGAATAAGGACCCCTTGAATGAAACTGTCATCCAGCTGTACCAGAAATCATCCATGAAGACACTGGCATTACTCTTTGCTGATCGCCCTGCAGATGCCGGTAACTGCTCCGTCATTAGAAACCTAACATGCTCAAATAATACTGTTCTTTTAGAATGTGCTTATATATCTTTTTAATTTGCTAAATAATTTCTAACTGTATTCATGAATATTTTTATATTCCTGTATTTTAGAGGGTGGTGGTGGTGGTGGTAAGAAAGGTGGCAAGAAGAAGGGTTCTTCCTTCCAGACAGTATCTGCTCTCTTTAGGGTAAGTACAGTTTTTATTACCTGTGAAACTGAGCATAAACTAGTTTTGAATCAATAAGTATTTTTTTTCAGATTATATCAGAAGGTATAACATACAAAGAATGAAAGGGGAAAACCCTAGAAACAAACCCTAGAAAGTTATTTTAAGAAGCATGAATACAACTTTATTTATTTATTAGTTACATTCATATCCCAGCTTCCCTTCCAATTTTGCTGTCACAGCAAAAGTATGAGAGAGGTTGCATTTAGAGTGACAGGTCATTTATTAAGTTTTGTAGCTCCGTAGGGACCAGAAACCATACCTCCCAAGTCCAACAATATGCCATTCTGGTTTTGTACTATGACATACTGAAGAGCCATCTATAGTTACACAGTGAGGTACAGAACATCATTATACTACCAATCAACTATGCATGGCTTCAACATGTCATTGTATTCATCCATTCCGAGCTGTGCAGACATCATGGTGCAAAAAACAATATGTGTAAATGCACAGGGTCCAAATTCACAATGTTCAAAAACACATGGGAAAGAAAAACTGGGGACTGTTGATAATTATTGAAAGAGAAGATATAAGTATATTTAAGTGAACATGGTGTGAGGTTTTTTGCAATCTCTTCATCAGCTCCCAAATAAGCAATCTGCTGTCAAGTTTAAAAACTGCCTTGCTTGATAATAAGAGTGCAAATTGAGCTGCATCATCACACAAATATAACAAATATTTCTCACTCCATAGGAGAATTTAAACAAATTGATGAGCAATCTAAAGAGTACCCATCCTCACTTTGTGCGTTGCCTTATCCCCAATGAAACTAAAACTCCTGGTAAGAAATACTAGTGCAGTGTAATCAGATGTTTAATAAAACAATGGCCTCTGAGTTCTACCGCATAGTGCTAACTACCCTCTAATATTGTCCAAGGTGCCATGGAACATGAGCTTGTATTGCACCAGCTGAGGTGTAATGGTGTGCTGGAAGGTATCCGAATCTGCAGAAAGGGATTCCCTAGCAGGATAATTTATGGTGACTTCAAACAGCGGTATGCTCTACATTATTCTACCACTATGCCTCTCAGTTTTTATATGCTTCTCCGTCTATAATCCTTTGGTCCTAAGTAGAGATGGGCACGAATCAGAAAAATTGTGATTTGTTTTGATTTGTAATTCGTCAAGGTCGATGAATCACAAATTGTGAATTTTACATTTTGTTCTGACAAACTGATGAATTGATTCATCAAATCAGTTAAATGACTATAAAATGGCCCTGAAGCACCTAGAGACACCAAATTCACAGGGAAGCTTCCCCTGACTCTCTTCTATAAGCCCGGCAAGATTGGTGAAGTTTGGGTTTTGGACATCCAAGTCATAAACCCACAAAGAAAGCTACCCAAGGAAAGTTCCCCCCAGGCACCTAGAGACACCAAAATCACACAGAAGCTTTTACTGACTCTGCTCTACGATCCCTCCAAATTTGGTGAAAATTGGGTTTTAGACATCCACATTATACACTCACAAAATGGGCTACCTCAGGAAAGTGCCTTTTAGCAGCTGCCTTGAGGAACCCCAATCTTTACCAAACATGGAGGGATTGTAAAGGAGAGTCAGGGGGAGTTCCTATGTTATTTTGGTGTCTCTACTTGCTTTGAGGGACTTTTCTTGGGAAGCTTTCTTGTGGGTGCATAACTCAGACATCCCTGCCATACTGGTGTCTCTGGGTGTCTGGGGGAGGCATTTTATAGCCAAACAAATTAACAAATAAAAAATCATTTAAAATTCATTGATTCGTATTCATCGGGGCCATTGATTCATACAAATACAAATCAATGAAGTAGTGATTTTTAAAGGAATTTGGTGATTCATTTTTAAAATTCATGCCCATCTATCCAGTGCAGTTCTAAGCATAGTTATTCAGACTAAGCTGTCATAAGATCAGTGCTAATAGTCTATACTACATGTACTTACAGTAAATTGCAACTATAGTATGTGTTAGCACATTCTTTTAAAAAAATTCATCCATTAGAATTTCCCAGCTTGCTGGGGAGGGCAATGTGTAGCCTGAACAATTAACTTGTAAACCTCCCAGAGAGTGCTTGAAGCACTATTGGGTGTTATATAAGCAGCACACTTTGCTTTATTATTATTATTATTATTATTATTATTATTATTATTATTATTATTATTATTATTATTGCTTTTAGCTAAGTAACAAATTATGCTGTTTTACCCTGCATGTGGTTAAGAGAACTGGGATGAATATAAAGATAAAATATATCATAAATCTTGATCATCTGGTACATCAGGTACACAGTAACATACCATAATTACACCCATTTGGATTACTGCAACACACTCTACGGCAATGTGTGTCTTTTGAAGAGTGGTCAGAAACTTCAGTGGTTCCAAGGCACTGTGACTAGAATGCTGACCAGAACTTGTTACCGATGAGAAAACACACCTTGGTACACAGTTTCACTGGTTACTGGTTCCCTTCTGGGCAGAATTCAAAGTGGTGATTATACTGTAAAGTATAAAGACTTACATGGCTTCAGCTCCAGTAATTGAAAGGCCCAGATCTCTCCATAGAAGTCTGCTTGGGTCTTGAGAACTTCAGAGGAAGCCTTTGTCTGAGTCCCACCTCCTTAGAGGCATGGTTGGCAAGGATATGAGAAGAGAACTTCTCAGTGACTAATCAGACTGCCTTCCAAGGGTGGCTAGGCTAGTCCCTTTTTACATTGTTAATGTCAGGAAAATATCTTTTTATTTAGATAGCCATTTGGCCTCTTGTTGGGTCTTTCAATGGTAGGTGTTTTCGTTTTAAAAATTTCTTTCTTGTGCTTTTAATTTTAAATTCTTTCATCTCCTTGCCTGTTTTTAATTCATGACATTTAATTGCATTTTATCCTAGGATTTAATATCTTTTTAGGTGTATCTTTTTTTCATTTATGTTATGTTATGTCCTCAGATACTACTCTGGGAGAGAGGCGGGATACAAATGAAATAAACATACTGTATATATATAAAGATATATGTTTATGTCATTCTATATATATAATAACAATCAGAGAATTTATTGTGATTTGTTGTCAAGTATTCATATTTTTTTAAAAGAACATTCTCTTTACAGATACAGGATTTTAAATGCAAGTGCCATCCCAGAGGGACAGTTCATTGATAGCAAGAAAGCTTCTGAGAAGCTTCTTGGATCCATTGATGTTGACCATACTCAGTATAAATTTGGTCACACCAAGGTAAAAACGTTTCTCTCTCAAAATTACATGACACTTAGTTTTGTGGATAGTGGCTAATGTTTTATGCTATTTTATTTCTCTAGGTATTCTTCAAAGCTGGCCTCTTGGGTCTTCTAGAAGAGATGAGAGATGACAAACTGGCTCAGCTGATTACACGTACTCAAGCTATGTGTCGTGGCTACCTGATGAGAGCAGAGTTCAAGAAAATGATGGAAAGAAGGTATGATTTTGCCACTTTTACTACATTGTGCAATACACTGCAGAATTATACATTTAAGAAAATAGATTCAATGAATTGTAAATGCTGACGCCAGGGTTAAATAGAGTAGTTAGGTACTCGTGTCTAGTGAAATCAGAACTTCCTTTTCCTCAGAACACCAAAGCCTACTCCAGGGTGGGATTTTAGGATGCACAGCGGTTTGCAAGAGAAAGAGGCTTCTGATTTTGGTTGATACAGTGGGATCCACTGGATGTATGTCATTGGATCCTGGCCTGAGTTTATTCTGAAATTATTTTTTAAGGTTTAGTTTGCTTTCCTTGCAGAGAATCTATCTTCATTATTCAGTACAATATCCGTTCATTTACGAATGTGAAGCATTGGCCTTGGATGAAATTGTACTTCAAGATAAAACCTCTGTTGAAGAGTGCTGAGTCAGAGAAAGAAATGGCCAACATGAAGGAAGAGTTTGAGAAAACAAAAGAAGAGCTTGCAAAATCAGAGGCCAAACGGAAAGAACTTGAAGAAAAAATGGTTACTTTGATGCAAGAGAAGAATGACTTGCAGCTCCAAGTCCAGTCTGTAAGGAGTTTAATGATGTACAATGTTTTTATCATATTTACCTGGTGTCTGATCAATGCATGTCTTTAATGAGTCAAAAATGATTTTTTTTTCACCAAGAATGTTTTGGATCAGTTTGATTTCACTAAATATCTGGTTAAAGATACAACTCTAGATTTTCTTATGGGTTTCCATCTAAGAGAAAAGAGGTTTGCTCATCCATCTATTTGTAATTTTTATTTGTATTCTGTTTCCTCCATGATAGAGACCTGCTTCTCCAATATTCTCCACTTGCCCCTCCAATGATATCCTAGCTTAAGCTATTTGCTCACTTTTATCCAACTTCCTCTTGCTTAGCTTCACCACTTACCTTCCCTCTTCCTCCATTTGTATACCTTCCTCAGCTTTCTGTTTAGTGGACTAGTGAAGACCAAGCACCCCAGCATCAGGAAGAACATGCCTCAATATACACATTTGATTTCTTTCTATACTAGTTCAATGTATCCATTCACTTACATTGGAAACATGGCCAGCTTGTCCAACACTATAGTAAATCAGGCAAAAACAAAAGAAAAACAAAAAATAAAGACAGGAACATTGTGGCATCTTAAAAACTAACAGCTATATTTTCATGTGAGCTTTCATGGACAAGGCCACTTCCTCAGACGTAAGAGTGGGATTACATGGCAAATGGGTATAAAGGTATAAATATTCACCGTGTGGTCTTATATCTGAGGAAGTGGACTTGTCCACAAAAGCTCACATTGAAATACAGCAGTTAGTCTTTAAGATGCCAAAACATTTATTGTCTTCTTAATTTTTTTGTTTTCCTGTGATTTTTGGCTGATATGCTAGCACAGACTAACACATCTGCCTCTTCTAAAACCATAACACTCCAGTGCAGTGATGGAGAACCTATGGCACACGTGCCATAGCTGGCACACAGAGCCCTTTCTGCAGGCCCACGAGCCGTAAGTCGCTGGATCACTACTCCCCCCCCCCCCCCAGTTACAGCAGGCGGCCCCCCCCCCGCAGTTAAACCTCAGGAGGCGGCTGCAGCCATGGTGCTGGTGCTTCAACAGGCGGCAGGCCAGGATCCGGAGTGGGGTCTCGAGGCTCCTCCATGCCCGGGATTCCCCCTTCCACCATCACTTCTGGTTCTGCTGCCGCCGCAGCCAACTGCCCACTGGGTATTTTTTTCCCCAGTTTGGGCACTCGGGCCCAAAAATTTTGAAAAAGCACCAAATTGTTTGCATGAATAGGTAGATCCTTTTTCACCTTACCAATGTTAAACCCTCACCTATCCAGTCTAGTAAATCATGTATGTATCTAGATGTCGATGCAAAAAGTTAGCTGCAAACAGGTGTGTAGATGATCTATCAAAATATTAGTTTATCTCTTTTTAATATAAACTGATCATACAATTCTATGAAAAAAAAATACTCAGATATCATTTCCAATAATTTCAATGCAGGAAAACAATCAATAATGTATATATATTTATGGATTGAATATAAGTTATTTTCTGTAGAAAAATTATCTCAGGAAATGTAAAGATACAGAAACACTAAAAATACTATGGAAATATAACTTGTCATTTCCAGAGCAACTGCTAATATTGTTCTTCACTATTAGAAATCAGACAATAAAAAAAATTAACTCAAGGGGTTCTTTCAATGTTGTTTTTAGGAATCTGATGCTGTGGCAGATGCTGAGGAGAGATGCGACCAGCTGATCAAAACCAAGATCCAGCTGGAAGCTAAAATTAAGGAGCTGACTGAACGGGCAGAAGATGAAGAGGAAATGAATGCTGAGCTGACAGCCAAAAAGAGGAAACTGGAGGATGAGTGCTCAGAACTGAAGAAAGACATTGATGACCTTGAGTTGACCCTGGCCAAGGTTGAAAAGGAGAAGCATGCCACAGAAAACAAGGTACGTACACCCAGTTTGACAAAAACTTGCTAAATGGAAAAGGCATTTGCACAGGATAATCCAATGTTGGCTCTACCTATTCCCTTCTAAAAGGTCAAAAACCTCACTGAAGAGATGGCTGTCTTGGATGAGACCATTGCCAAACTGACCAAGGAAAAGAAAGCCCTTCAAGAGGCCCATCAGCAGACCTTGGATGACTTGCAGGCAGAGGAAGACAAAGTGAATACTCTGACCAAAGCAAAGACCAAGCTGGAGCAGCAAGTGGATGATGTGAGTGAAACAACACAGAGAAGTACAGTTCTGAGGTAAAGGTAGCATTGTTGTTGTTTAGTCGTTAAGTCGTGTCTGACTCTTCGTGTCCGCATGGACCAGAGCACGCCAGGCCCTCCTGTCTTCCACTGCCTCCCAGAGTTTGGTCAAATTCTTGTTTGTAGCTTCGATGACACTGTCCATTAAAGCTATCTCTAGCTATAGACAGAGGACGAGAAGATTATCTGTCATCCCCTTGTCCTCTTTCCTTCACACTTTCCCAACATCAGGATCTTTTCCAGGGAGTAAATGGGGCCAGGAGGAAATGCGGCCAGTGGCCATGATCTTGGTTTTTTTTTATGTTGAGTTTCAGACCATTTTTTGCACTCTCCTCTTTCACCCTCATTAAGAGGATCTTTAATTCCTCTTCACTTTCTGCCATCAGAGTGGCATTATCTGCATATCTGAGGTTGTTGATATTTCTTCCAGCAATCTTAATTTTGGTTTGGGATTCCTCCAGTCCACCTTTTGCATGATGGATTCTGCATATAAGTTAAATAAGCAGGGAGACAATATACAGCCTTGTCGTACTCCTTTCCCATTTTTAAACCAATCAGTGTTTCCATATCCAGTTTTAAATGTTACTTCCCGTCCCACATATAGGTTTCTCAGGAGGTAGATAAGGTGATCAGGCACTCCCATTTCTTTAAGGACTTGCCATAGTTTGCTGTGGTCCACACAGTCAAAGGCTTTTGCGTAGTCAATGAAGCAGAAGTAGATGGTAGTATTAGAACAGCATAATATTTATGATCTCTTTCTCTTCAGCTTGAAGGGTCTTTGGAACAAGAGAAGAAGCTTCGTATGGACCTTGAAAGAGCCAAGAGGAAGCTAGAAGGAGATCTGAAGCTGGCTCAGGAATCCATAATGGATCTGGAAAATGATAGGCAGCAGCTGGAAGAGAAGCTTAAGAAGTAAGTAAAGTGCTAAGTGGAAGTTCTAATGAGACAGCTTTGTGCTACACAGATCTCTTAGCACTTCATATGGAAGCTAACATTTAGTGTTTTGTTGTAACAAGGAAAGATTTTGAAATCAGTCAACTCCAAAGTAAAATTGAAGATGAGCAGGCTTTGGGATCCCAACTTCAGAAAAAGATCAAGGAGTTGCAGGCAAGTCCAGCATACCTTTATTCTCTTTTTACCAGGAGAATTTATTTTTTGAACTGGAATGACATTTTGGCTTCTTCTGTAGGCTCGTATAGAGGAACTGGAGGAAGAGATTGAGGCAGAGCGTGCATCTCGGGCCAAAGCAGAGAAGCAGCGGGCTGACCTCTCCAGGGAACTGGAGGAAATCAGTGAGCGTCTGGAGGAAGCTGGTGGGGCAACAGCGGCTCAGATTGAGATGAACAAAAAACGTGAGGCTGAATTCCAGAAATTGCGTCGGGACCTTGAAGAGGCCACTCTGCAGCATGAAGCCACTGTAGCTGCCCTCCGCAAGAAGCATGCAGATAGTGCATCTGAACTTGCAGAACAGATTGATAACCTTCAACGAGTGAAACAGAAGCTGGAGAAAGAGAAGAGTGAGCTGAAGATGGAGATTGATGACCTTGCTGGCAATATGGAGTCTGTTTCTAAAGCTAAGGTAGACCACTGTACCGAACAGAAAAGATGTAGGAACAGCTATACTAGCACAACATCCCTGATGTGACAACTATACAAATATTTAGTTGTTGTTGGATAGTCCAATATAATCCCTGGTTGAAGTGGTAAAACTATTAGACCTTTTTTTTTTATTAAAACAGATTACACAGGCCAATTCATTCTTTCACCTCTACTTTTAACTGTGTATTAATATATAGAATGCTCCGTGTTTAAAATAACAAACCTTGCATCTCTTATTTGGGATGGTGTTTTATTTGTCTTTTATTAGATTTAATGATACAATTTGGATTTTGATCACACTGTAGCTTCTTGGCAAAAAGTAATCTTTAAAAGTTGCCATTTTCAGTGTTCCTTGAACAGAATCAGTAAGAGCATTTCAGCTTGAGATGGATAGATTGCTTGTCTGTTTGGGATAGCTTCATTTAAAATTCTATTCCATCCTATTTCTGTATTAACTCACAGTTGTAAGAAATTTAGAAACAGGTTATTAGATATTTGTTCAGAAAATATACATTTATTAGATGAATTTTATTCTAAAATATACATAAATAATGCATTTTATTCTAAAATATACTTTTTTGTTTTAAGTTCAGAATGGTGCCATATTTTAAGTAGTGCAAAAACTAAAGCATTTGTATTTCAGGCCAGGTATTAGTCTATTAAAGTGTACACTAAGTGAATTCACATAAAAAGTAGATGGAATTAGGTGCACAAAGATTTATAATTCCAGCACAGGTATTGAATTTTTACCATTTGCAGGGTTACTCAGAGACAAAGCAGACCCCACCAGTATACAAAATGAATTAGATTTGATTATATATGTGATTGTTTATTTCAACTGCAATTAAAAATAGTGATCAAAAATTCAAGTTAATAAATTTGTTATGTGAGGGTTTTTTTTGTAGCTGCCCAGTTTCTTCTTCTTGATTTACAGAAAAAGTTCCCAATATTATATTCCTTTCAAGAATATTTCAGCATATTTTCAATTGTTCACTTTAGTCAGTTCTTGAGAAATTATCCCGCTCCTTGGAAGATCAGCTCAGTGAGATTAAAGCAAAGGAAGAAGAGCACCAGAGAACAATTAATGACCTGAGTGCTCAGAGGGCTCGTCTGCAAACAGAAGCAGGTAAATGTGACTCTTGGGGGCAATTTTGATTTTTCATAAGTGCTTCTTTTTAAAAACATTAAAATTGTAACTAATAAGTAATGTATTCCTCTTTCACTAACAAGAAACAGCAAATAACTTTTAAAGAGGTAATTGCAAGTAACAAAATTTTGAAAAAATAACATTCCAAATTATATTACTTTCATGGAATATAATGTTGAATGCTGTTGATATTGCTGTTAAAAAAAGTCGAGACATTTTGAGTCTGAGTCTTCATTCCTTAACCATTTTACACTCATCATATTTCTCTATTCTGTTTCATATTTCTCAGGCGAACTTGCCCACCAAGTGGATGAGAAAGATTCTTTGATTTCCCAGCTCTCAAGGGGAAAGCAAGGCTTTACCCAACAGATTGAAGAATTGAAAAGGTTACTTGAAGAAGAAATAAAGGTTTGTGTTATGTCTAGATGTTATTTCCAGTGATGGATTTCTAATCCTCAATGAAGTTGTAAGAAACTGAAAAATATCTGAGCAACAAACAAGAGAATGCAGTGAATTTCCAGTTGTTAATACATTTCCATTCAAAGGACTATTATCCAGGGTATTATCCTAGACACATTTATTAAGAAGCATTTCTAAGTAAACATGTAAAACATGGCAATGCCAAGCACTTGAGAATTAGGAAAAACAAAAGCAATGGACTGGATTTGTAGAATACAACAAAGAAAGAAAAGGGGAAATAACTCAGATAATGGGGTTTTAAACTCAACAAGAGATTAGCAAAATATCTAATAAATCTTTAACTTCCTTCAGGCAAAGAATGCCCTGGCCCATGCCTTGCAGTCTGCTCGCCATGACTGTGACTTGCTCCGGGAGCAGTTTGAAGAGGAGCAGGAAGCCAAGAGCGAGCTCCAACGTGCCATGTCCAAGGCCAATAGTGAAGTGGCCCAGTGGAGGAACAAGTACGAGACAGATGCCATTCAACGCACTGAAGAACTAGAAGAAGCCAAGTAAGTGGAATCAAGTTGAACATAAGCAGCACTTTTGTATTAATGTGGGGCATAATGGAGGCAGAAATTTTGATCAGGAATCAAAACGGGCCTTAGACCTAGTAGCATAGAATATCAACAACAGACTACATTACAGAGCTGCCATTGGAGCTTGCATTATAATTCAGATATGTGTGCTACGTTATATAGCCCAGTATTCTCAATTAAAGGAAACCTAAAGCCATAATTTAGAAAAAATCGGCCATAACTTTATTGGTTATAGCTGCAATAGTCTTGACAGCATCAGGATGGATACTTTCCCACCTCCCAAGGAACCTGATCTAAGTCCACATTTATGTATATTCACCTCCATCCTCTCTTGGTTACTAAAGAATAAAAGAGGAAGGAAAAAAGCTGTAGTCTGCTAGTGAATCAGTGGTGGCTTGAATCCTCCCAGACTGGCAAAGCCACATGTTGCTTTCCCCCAATCTTTCTTTGTCCAATTGTCCTGTATGGTTTTATCCTGACAGCCCCTCCCTAGCTATCTTCATAAGGCTTTTTGTATGCCTGCCTGAGAGCCTCCCAAGCCTGTTGGTATTTACTTCTTCTGGAGATGATGCTATTTTGGCTACATACAGACAAATATATATTCCCATCCCAAACCCAAAAAACATTGCAAATAAAAGTAATTACCTTGTAGAAACATACTGATACAGTGTTGGTGTATCAGTATGCACTTTACAGATCTCTACAGAGCTCAACTAATCGAGAACAACCTCTTTACTCAAAGTGACTTGGAAATAATTTCCCATGCTTACAAGCATTGTGCAGTGTAATGTGAATTTCCCATTTGTTGGAAAACAATATACTGTATTCAGAACTGTTTCTGTATGATCTTTTATACCAGGGGTCCCCAAACATTTCATGGTAAGGGCCACATCATGTATTTTCCATATTTTGGAGGGCTGAACAGCTTTCCCGCCCTGCACACATACATGCATGCCTGAATAACCGCCCACCCCATACACATGCCCGAACATCTACTTGTCCATCCACCTGCCTGCCCAAACATCCACACATTCATCCACCTCACCTACATGCACACATGCCCCACTTGGCCACCCAAACTGCCCACCCAAATGCCCACACATATGCCTGAACGCCCACCAGCAAACATGCCTGAACGCACACCTGAATGCACGCACACCCCGCCTGCCTGCCCGCCTCCACCCAGGCCAGATAAAAAGGCAATATGGGATGGATGTGGCCCGTGGGTCGTAGTTTGAAGACCCCTGTTTTATACCATAGTGAAAAATATTGTTACACACATTATTCCTGTAGGTGGTGATGATGTCACTTGCAAGGGTAGGTTTTTTAGTAATTAAATAGTTCTTACTTCTGTCCCTTGATTTGACTGACGCATCTGTAATCAGCTTTATTATGTGCAAATTGTGGGAGCTCAGGTACAGAAGAAGCAACTCTTTACTCTCTTTCCAGTAACATTATTTGATGGAAGATTTTCAGAAATTAAAGAATTCCTCCTTCTGTCCCAGAGCTCCCACGGCATGCAAGCAATGACACTGATTACACGAGTCTGAAAACTGCAAGGCAGAAGTACAAATGTTTTAGTTATCAAAAATCTTCCCTTGTTGGTAATATTAAGTTTATGAAGGTGTAACGTATGCAGCATGGCCACTAAAATATAAAAAGTTAAAACTAATGTAAATATTAGTTTATAATTAGAGGTGAGGGCACTGGTGGTCTTGCTCATCCTTCCAATCACTCGTAGAGCGTTGCTCTCTTTCCACTCGGCTAGCCACTTGGCAGCCATGCAGGGAGACTCATCCCCCCCCCCCCCGCCTGCAGTAGGTAGCTGAGCGGGAAGAGAGCAGGACTCTGGGAGTGATTTGAATGATGAGCAAGGTCACTGCCACCGGCAGACATGTGAGTGGACGGTCTGGCCCCTGGAGCCATACCCTCATTAAGTCCAACTGCACTGAGATATTCGTATTCATATACAAATACAAATACCCCATCTCTATTTATAATTCAAACAAAAATCCCATTACTACTGCAATTTTGAAAACAGACTATGGGGCTTATGAGATATGATATTTTTATTAATTTCTATAACCAGAATGTAAATAAGAGCTCCCTGAAAAAATATGCCTGTGATCCACTATTTGAGTCATAAACAGGATCTTGATAAATTGATTGTTTTTAATGGAAATTGTTCAGACATTGTGCAATTAGTCAGTATTATTTATATTTATTGCATGATGAATGTGTCACTGAATTAGTATTTCCATACTTAAAACAACAATCAAAGAGCAGACACCATAAATATCACTTCACATTCTCTCACTTTACATTGACCTCACCTCACAACATATTGGTACCTCTTCTTCTTGTTGTTGTTTAGTCATTTAGTCGTGTCTGAGTCTTCGAGAACCCATGGACCAGAGCACACCAGGCCCTCCTGTCTTCCACTGCCTCCCGGAGTTGAGTCAAATTCATGTTGGTAGCTTCGATGACACTGTCCAGCCATCTCGTCCTCTGATGTCCCTTTCTCCTCTTGCCTTCGCATCAGGGTGTTTTCTGTCATCCCCTTCTCCTCCTACCTTCACACTTTCCCAACATCAGAGTCTTTTCCAGGGAGTCTTCTCTTCTCATGAGATGGCCAAAGTATTGAAGCCTCAGCTTCAGG